AGCGAATTTGTTACATGCTGTCTGAGTACCCTGCTCCCTGCTAATGCATAGTTTTTGCAATGGATGTTAATAATTTATGCGAGTAATATAATCACGACCACGACTCGACTGACGTTTTTCTTTGCTTAAATCAAATAATAATTTTTTGAAAACTTGTTAATTTGTTACATGAATATTATCTAATAATATTGTCATTATTATAATTATTATACTAGCAATCAAAGTAAGTTGTTACAGATCATTCAATACTTTAGTTAAGAATAAAAATGCATAACAAAGGTTTAGTTTAAGAGTTAATTTCATAGGAATGTTCTTAATTGTACCAACCTTTCTTATTTATAACCACGTCAATTTTTATCTTTGAGTTTAATACCTACTCTCTTAAATTTGAAATAAAAATATATTTTGTTTTTTAGTAGGTACCTAATTTATTTGAGTACTTGCCTAATGAATAATTGATTTTATCATTAAGGAATCAAGAAATAGTTCAAGAAAAAAATATGTTTATCAAAATCCCAGTTTAATAGAAATATAAAACAACAACTTAATTGCTTAGATCATTTAAGAACACAAAAATCAGTAGATGCTTTACCAGTTCTCCCTTCTTGTTTGAGTTTTCAAAATCAGTCTGTTGGCTATTTAGCACAGGAAAATAACTTGTTAGTTGAGGGAAATAATATTTCAAACACAACTACACTTGATAATTCACCAAAAATGGCCATTAAAAATAGCAATTATGTCTCCCAAACATTGTCCAATACTAGTCAATTTATTCCTAAACAAAGTTCTGAATTAATCTAAAATGTTATTAACACTGACCAAGATTGTCATGTTTTTATTTGATGCTGAAGCTAAGGCAAGTGTTTTACTTATAAAAGGCCATAGTGGTTATTCATCTTGTTGGAAATGCACCTTATAAGGTGAATATATAAATTCAGTATGTTTTACTGAAATAGAATTTAATAAAAGAACAGATATTGTTTTTATGAATCAAACTGATCCGGATCATCATACAGGTCATACAATTTTAGAAAAAGTTCCAAATATAGGTCTTGTGACTGAAGTCCCTTTAGATTATATGCATCTAATATGTCTTGGAGTTGTGAAAAAGTTACTTGTTTCTACTTGGTGTTTTTGACCACCTCAAAAATTACCTTCTAGAATTATAAAGGTTATATCGGAATCATTAACAAATTTAGTTCCCTACATTCCTGTTGAATTTGCAAGAAAACCTAGGCCTTTGAAAGATTCTAAACACTTTAAAGCTACAGAATTTATTCAGTTCATTTTATACACCGGTGTTATTGTTTTAAAAAAAATTTAGAAAACAACAAGTATAAACATTTTTTGTCTCTTCATTTTGCTATTGTACTATTGTCAGACATACATTTACAAACTATGACGTACTATGCCGAAAAACTTTTAAAACATTTTGTGATTTGTACAAAATTAATTTATGTCTCATAACTTTCATAACTTATTGCATTTAACTGATGATGCTAGAAAATTTGTCAAATTTTCCTTTGAGAACTAATTACAAAAAATAAAAAAAAATGTTGAGAAAACATGATGGTATTCTTCCACAACTAGTACGAAGACTGGCTGAAGAAAGGTCTCTTCAAATATTACCTAACCATAAAGTAAAACCAAATAATTTTAAACTAAAAAGAGAACATAGTGAATCAATTTATTAAATCCTCAATATAAAGAGGTAGTATTTTGTAATTTTTAACTTAGTTCAAAAGTTCAAAATTCATGTTGTAGATTAAAATGGATTAAAATTAAAATAAACCATTATTGAAATTTCAAATTTTGCACATAGTAAAGTATTAAATCAGCCAATAGTGATTGGTAAAAATATAATAAAACTACAGATTTTTATACTAGCCCTTCTCAGTCATCTTTAATTTTTATTCTAATAACCTACTCAACTTCAAGAAAATTATTCTTTTGTCCAATATCAGATATTCTTTTCTTTTTTTTTTATTGAACATAAAAACATCGGCTACTAGGTCATTAGTTATTGAGATACATTTTTTTTTTAATGGTTTACATTAAGTTAATGCTTAAATTAGGTTATATAATTTTATTTCTTTTAGGAAGTTGATTATGTTTATGTTTGATTGGAGATCAGACTGAAGGGCTTCACTTAATTGCTGTGGTATGTGATGCTTGGATCTTTCGTCTGCGAATTTGAAACTATCAGTTAGTATATGTTTGACCGTGAACTCCACATCACATGCTTCGCATATAGGAGGGTCTTTTCTAGCCATGAGGTGGTTGTGTGTTGCAAAAGTATGCCCAATTCGAAGACGATTCAAAATGGTTTCATCTTTCTTATTTAAGCCGGGATTTTTTCATACTTGGATATTGTTTTTTATTGTATTTAATTTGTTGTTCTGTTTGGTCCAGCGATTTCGCCATTTTTTGTATAGAACCTTCTGAGTGAGTTTTTTTTAAATCAGTGAAAGTACTTAGATTTAGAATTTGGGATGCATCTATTAAGTTAACTATTTCAAAAACCAAAAAATAAAAAAAAATATCATTAAGAGTTTCATTATTTTAATAAATAATTAAATAAAGTATAAAAATGTAATATACCTATAAATGTATACCAAATTTCAGAAATTTATTCCTGCAGCTTGAAAGTGCTTCCTGTTCAAAATACTCAATCAAGTGAAAATGAATTAACCGTGATACAGAATGCTGTACAGGATAAACCATGTCATACATCAGATGTTGAGATCAGATCAAATTGGTAAACATTTTGTTTTATTTTCACTAAATATCTAATAAACACCACATAATCATAACTATTTGTTTTTGTTGAAAGTGAAGCTTGACGGACTAATGATGTTAGCATTAATATAATAAGTAATAACACGACAATATGATTATGTATAAGTATAATATATAATAACATACAACTGGACAATTAAACGGTGACTATACACACACACACCGCGTACACTCGGTATGACAGCGTCTGTGCAAGTGATTATTACATACATCAAAGGCCCTATTTATATGAACAATCGAGGCCATCCCGTATCCGTATATAATATAGAAAGCGATAGTAAAGGTGTTACACAGCTATATCGTAACTGCATAAGTATCTATTAGAAAACGACATTGTACCACGCACGTGTGTTTACATGGTTTGATTACTAATATTAATTGTATATTTCAACACCCTCCCTCAATTAATAATTTCTTTAATTGTAGTCACTCCTATGGCTGACCGCAACTTCTCGAATCGTTCCTTAACCAAAGGCTTGGTTAGAATGTCCGCAATTCGGTCCTCTGTTCCAATGTACTGTAGTTGGAACTGTCCTTCTTCGTATTTCTCCCGTATGAAATGATATCGTACGTCTATGTGTTTTGTCCTCTTATGAAACTCCGGATTCTTAACTAAACGAATAGCACTCTGATTATCAATGAATAATACCGGTTGTTTATCACCTGTTTTTGATAAGCTTATTATCAACCGCGTAATCCACATGATCCCTTTTACGGCTTCACTGGCCGAAATATATTCAGCCTCGGTCGATGACAATGACACACAATGTTGTCTCTGCGATGTCCATGAAATTATGCTCGACCCGTATCTGAATAGAAATCCTGACGTTGAACGTCGTGTCTGAACGTCACCTGCGTAATCTGAATCGCTAAATATTTCTAATGACAATTGTGTATTATGATTAAAATACAAGCCATAATTAAATGTTCGTTTGACATATCGTATAATCCGTTTTACCAAGTTCCAATGAGCTTTAGTTGGTTTTGCTAAGTAACGACTAGCAAAGTTTACTGCATATGCTATATCTGGTCTCGTTACCTGTGATAAAAACAGTAAGCTACCTACTGCCTGCCTATAAGGTATTTCTTCACTTAATATCTCCGATTCTTCCTTTTATTCAATAGTATGTGATTTGTCTATCGGAATTGAAAGTTCCTTGGCGTCCAGCATATTAAATTTATTAATTATGCTACATGCATAATTTGTCTGATGCACAAATAATGAACCATTTTTCATTAAGTTTACCTGCATACCTAGAAAATATTCTAAGTTTCCCTTTTTAACCTCAAACTCTTTCTCCAAGTTCGTTAAAAGTTTCTCTATTATCTCTTCATTATCTGCCGCGATTAAACCATCGTCAACAAATATTGCAAGAATAATTTGGCTGTTCTCAGCTTTGAATACACATGCATCCGCTTCGGTACATTGTAAACCAAATGCTCAAAAGTTTAGTATTCAAGTTGATAGCACACAGGATGTTGGAGTTTTTGATCAAACGGCTATTTATATTCGATACATATTTAATGGAAATGTTACTGAACGACTATTTGCACTTGTAAAAGTAACAGATTCTTCAGGTGAAGGGTATTATAATATGTTGAAAAGCCTTTTTATGAAACATAATTTGCATTTTACCAATGTGGTTGGAGAAGCATTTGACGGTTTATGAGGGGAGAATTTTCAGGTTTACAGTCTAGAATAAAAGAACAAAATCCAAAAAGTATATACATTTGGTGTTATAGCCACGTACTCAACTTGTGCATTTGTGATACATGTCAAAATATTAATGCTAAAAACTTATTTGGCTTGTTAAACAGACTGTCGACTTTTTTTAGAGAATCATACAAACGCATGAACGTTTAATAGTAAAATAACACCAATACTGGAACAAACAAAATGAAAAGACTTCAAAAAATTGGAGACAATAATACAAGGTGGTGGTCTAGAGAAAAGGCACATTTTTGGGTATTTGATGGCGATGAACCTCTATTTTCAATTGTAATTTGTGCATTACATTTTGTCAGCAACTCTCCAAAATTTGAAGCTAGAATTTGTTCAGAGGCTTCTTTCTTTACTGGAAAAATTATGTTGTTTTAAAATTTTACTTACTTCTTATATATTTATCCGTATTTTTAAAATTGTTGGTCCAACTTCAAGATATCTCCAAACAAAAGGCTTAGATTTATTAACTGCATGGAATATGATAGAGTCTGTTAAATCAGAAATTTCAAAAATAGATTTTGAAAGTGTTTATGACGAAGCTTATTTATTTTCAAAAAAAATGAAAAAACAATTTTCCAATTTACACCTTCCTGAAGACATCATTGTTGAAGATCAACTGCCAGCCTCTAGAGTATGTAGAAAAAAAAGATTATAAGATGAAGTATGTGATGACCAAGTTCTAACTAACCCAAAGGAAAAGTTCAGAGTAGACACTTATAGAGTAATAATTGATCAAATATTAAGCAGCCTAAATCAAAGGGTTTCAAACAATAGCAATTTAATTGCAGATATCCAGTATTTAATCCCAAAGAATTTTAACCTTATTGAAAATATGCCAAATGATGCTTTAACACATATAGCTGACCTAATTAATATTAAAAAAGAAGATTTAAAAATGGAGTTACAAAATTTTTCTATAATTTATCCTAATTTAACAACATCAGTTTTGGAAAGAACTAAATATATATACAAAAACAGCACAACAAATATTAACAACAGTGAGAAGTCTAGTGATGAATCATCAGCAGAAGTTAGTGATGGAGAAAATATGATTTCTGATGTATTTTGTAAGTCAAATTTAAATTAATTTAGTTTTTTTGCTTGTAAAATGTAATTAATTAATATTTAATTTGTTGATTAATTGATTTCAGGTAATACAAATAAATGCAAATTATCCGAATTTGATGAAATCCACAGTAAGCAGAGCTGCTTAATTTGTGTATATAAAATACTATATTCTCTAAACATGCATGTTTCTGCATACAGTAATTTATGCACGGCATATGAATATTTTTTAACATTGTCTGTAACCGAAGTTAACTGCGAGAGAACATTCAGCAAACTTAAAATTATAAAATCCCGTCTTCGTTCCAGCTTAAGTCAAGAAAACTTAGAAGCTCTTATTATCATGTCAGTAGAGAGGCAACTACTTGAAGACATAGAAATATCTGAAGTTATAGAGTACCTGAAAAACAGCTCCAGTTTAATGTACAAAATGGTATCTTAAATTGATATTATATTATGATGTTAAGTTTTATCAAATTGAGTGACATTTTTTTTCACCTACCTACATTGATTTATCTTCCTCATATTAAAGTAATAATTAAATTGTTTTACTATTTGTCCATACAAGGAATTATCATTTATTTTATATTACAAACAATAGCGTAAGTATAAACATGGCTAAAATTATTACTAATACTACTATTTAGGTGTGGTTACTATATATTCAAATTAGGAAAAATTGGGTAACTTACATGTTTTTTTGGGTTGGGAGGGGGGGTAGAGCGACAGCATCATCATATTTATGACTATGACAATAAAGATATTGTTATTATTATAATACTTTTGGGCCGGTATATTTCATCTCCACCTGGGCCGATATACTCCCAGTCCGCCCCTGCGTCGTACCCACTATATTTCTCTCTGTCTTACACACATACAACATATAGCAAATTTTCGTTCACCATTTTCAATAGTGTGCTGATAGTTTTGATATTAGAGTGGATTGACCTAATATCGAACTTTAAGGTAAGGAAATTTTCTGTGTTCTTGTTGTTTTTTTATGATATATTTTGATTTTTTAGTGAATTATGATAATTTACAAATATTAATATTTTACATACTCACTTAAAAATTAAATTTCCTAAAAAACCAACTAGAAAACAGAGATAATGTAGTTCTTACCTAAAAGTTTGATAATAGTTTTTACTCTAATATCAAAACTAACAGCACACTATTGAAAACTGAACAAAAATTTGGTATGTCGTACACGTGTAAGACGTAGACAACATGTTCGGGTGCGACAACCATTTAACAGTGATACTTTCATTTAATAGGTACCTATTTACATAAAGTTAATATTTTCATACTCGAGGATAAGAGCTCTTATTTACAAATATGGTGAGGATTTATAATATTATTACATGTGTGTATAAGAAAAAGTATTAATGTTGAATCATTCTCTTAAATGGATAACTGGGATTGTTAATATGCATGATACCTATTAGTATGATTTAGAAATTATTTATAATTTTATGAATTAATTTATTTTAGAAGCAACAGTCTTCTTCTAAATTTAATCAAACTTCGATCAAGGATATTGAAGTTGCCGTAAGTATTTGGCTTTCAAAAGCGAGCGAAAGACTTAAGATGACCACAACAAATAATATTAATACCTAACTCATTTTTGGCAAATATTTTTTTTGCAAGTGTTCAGCCAGGTCAGCCACTAAATGTTAATATTATACATATTTTTTTTAACTACCTATTAAGGTTCATAAAATAAATAAATTGTTTTTTTTTATCTAAATCAAGTTGTTGATACTTTTAATTTTTAAAGTAATATTCAATACCTACATATTAGTAAAGACAGAATTCCATTAGTTTATACTATTGTGAGTGTGGTAAGATGAAATGGACGTAATGAAGTACCTTACATATACTTGGAACTTAAAATATAAGTTAAGTTTAGAAGTTAAGATATTTAGGTTACTTATGAAAGACAAAGATTTGGTATGTAAGAAAAGTTGTAGCTAGATGAAGTTGAAAACCTGGAAAAATGAGAGAAGTTAGAGCTCCTAAAAAACTAATGAGAGCTGGTCATAAATCATATAAAAATAATAGATAAAATAATAAAAAATGTATTAAGTTTGCTGGTCGTCAGCAGACTCAGAGCCGTCCCAACGATTTGCGGGGCCCGGGGCAGAGTAAAATTGCGGAGCCTAAAATGCCTAAAATGTCATTATCGCACGTAAGTTGAATATCGCATATGGGAGCAATACTCCCCAAATTTGAAACTCAAATGTGCCCAAATTATCTTAACAAATATAGTACCTTGCACCTACACAACAATATGAATAAGTAAATTAACTAATAAAGCACCATGTCATATAATCAAACTTAATATAATAAATAAAAGTTATAAAAAAAATATTGACAAAATAAGACAATAAAAATAAAATATAGCAATAGGTACAATATAAAAATATATTAAAAATTAACTTTTCTACTCTTTATATCCGAGAATTGATAAATAATATCATTACATTTTAATTGGTCAGCAATTTCTTTTTCGATAGAGATTATAGCTAAATTGGTGACTTTTTCTTGTGACAACGTGCTTCGAAGATAGTTTTTTTATTAATTTCAGCTTTGAAAAAGATCGTTCTGCTGAAGCAGTATTTACAGGCATAGTTAACAATTTTCTTAACTATGGACACATTGCAGTAAATGTCATCAACTCAGTAACTAAATATATTTTCTAGAACTTTTAGTGGTGACGTGTCTTTTTCAATAATCTCACAAAGAATGACCAATTCATCGAACATTTCTCGACCATTTATATCATTTGTGTCACCAACTTCTAACAGATTTTGAATATCCATACAATTTTTCATTAAATCATCTTTATTCATTTTAGAAATACTTCCAATATTATACAGGAAACCAAAATAATCATTAAATTTGTCCAATTGTTGAAACCTTTCATTTATAGAAACTATCCCTTTGTCCGAAATTGGAAAAAAATATTCATTTTTAAAAGAATTAACATTGCTATCAGAAACATATGTACTCATACTTAAACTTTCATAACCAAACATTTTTTTTTTCTTTTTATATTTATTTTTTTTTAAAACTAGTATTATTTCCAATTGTTGACATATTTTAATAGCTTCCTTTTTTGCATTTGTATAACCATTTTCTCTATATCCTGTTAAAAATACTTTTAGGCCAACATAGTTCTTTAAAGCAAAGTCAATAGATATGTGTTCACGTTGTAAGGTTTTACTTACTTTACTGATAGCTTTTAATACATCAAACCATATAACCGTGCTTAAAATAAATTCAAAAGTCATTTCATATTCAAGAAGTGATTTAGCCTCGATTTGAATTGCTGGTATTTTTGTTGTATTGCTAACTTCTAACAGTGCTTCACTAGTTTCTTGCAATTGCTCTTTTACTGCTTTAACTGATTCATACGACACTCCCACACTCCCATCTAGCTTCAGTGTCAGACCATATAAATATTTGTTTAAAATTTCCCAGCGTTCGGTAGAAGCTGAAAATATTGTGTACATTATGTGTATTTTACCACAAAAAAAGTCATAGCTCGAGGTATACATTTATAATTTATAAAGTACTCTTGTATTTCTACTACCCTTTTATTATTAACTTTTTTATATGTAAAATTCTTATAATTAAAGATAATTGTTCTTTATTAGATATATCTGGTATAGTATCGAGCATTATGGTGTAATATTTTAATGTTTAATTCTTGAAATTATTTCTATTCTTATTCTGTTTCCAATTAAATTTATTAATTCTGTCTGGATTCGAGGCCCCAATTAGTGTGGATGAATTTCTTTGTTTTTGATTTTTCTTAAATGTTCAGCCATTGGATTATCAAATGATGCAAGCATTTCAATTAACTTAAGAAATTTACCATTCTGATCACTATAAATCGTACAATGTTTTCCCCTAAACTAATCATTTTGACTAGCAAGATACAATATGCATGCAATGATTCTTTTGATTCTCCATCTATCTTTTTCAGTAAGTATTTGGTTTTGAACATCATGATCCAATGTATGACCATTTTCTAAATTTAAAGACAAATCCATCCATTGTTGCTTTGTTTTTAGATGATCTTTTTTAAATTCATGAGATTTTATTCTATCGCCTAAATGCTTCCAGTCATTAAATATTAGTAAAAATTACAACAATTAAATGTATAAAATATAAATATAATATGTACCTAGTGTTACCTAGTATAAATTTATAAGTACTACTTACACAGTGGCGGCGCGAACTTTTTTAGTCTTTGAAGCATATTATATATTTTAAAAATTTTGACCACCAACCCCTCATTGGACCAAAATAAGTATCAAGGGACTTCGGCACTTCACCCCCCGCCACCAATTAAAAAATTTCTGAATATCATATAGATTATAGGCAACTATAAAACCTCAATAATTTCACACATTATTATAATAAAAATAATAATACATTATATTATATAATATATTATAATTATTATTATATTTAATAATACATTATAATTGCATATTATAATATTATATAAATATACATTTTTCTTTAGTCTAGGTACATATTAATGTATAACTTAATTTTATAGATACATGTATACATTTATAACTGCAAAAGTGGCATAATCACATTTATTTAAATATCAGCTTATCTCTTAATAAATCAGATGACATAGCATATGCGTTAATTGCTTCTTCATAATTGATACTTATATCTCTTTCACAGCTAAGAATCATCAGACTTTCCAATCGGTCTTGTCCAATTGTTGAGCGTAGTCTAGTCTTGATTAATTTAACCTGTATAATAAAATGAACATGAAAGACTATAACTTCAAAGTTCAAAGTACAAAGTTTCGTAGAAATGGACATTACAATAGCGTCAAGGACAATAAAGTATACTTCAGTTTTATAACGGTCATTAGGTGATAAACTTACTTCATCCACAGCAAATTCTCCTGGCATAACTTTCCGCCGTCTTGGGCGGAGAACTTTAAACTCTGTCTCACGTACGTTATTTTTATTTACAAACAATTTAGTTTCGTCAACTAATTTCAAATATTCTTCGTCTGTTCTAAGACTTTGCAACCTTTTTCTGGAATCGTCGACTAGTGCTAATGCTTGTATAAAATCCAAGTTCTTAGACTGAAGATATTTAGACAGTGGAGAAGTAATTGAAAATATTTTTTGTATAAAAATCATTGTAACAACAAACATATAAGAGTTTACAGCTGTTTCTAAACCTGTTGCTTTTGATAAAGAGTCACGGTCAGAATCATCAGAATTTTTCAAAAATTTTAATGTTTGTACTAATGCTTCATATTTTTCAAATATTACAGTTAATGCTCTATCATGAGAAGTCCACCTAGTTGTCGAAAAATGTTTAAGACGGCGTATAGGTTTATTTGGATAGTTCTTGTTTTGTAATTCTACAAATTTTGCCGTTCTTTTGCGAGCTTTCATGTATTCATTTAATGCCTGTACATCGCCGAAAAAGTTCCTAGTTTCTAAACATATGTCACAAGTGTCTACAATGACTAAATTAAGTACATGTGCAAAGCACCATATATAAATTGCTCGTGGGTTATGGTTTTGTATATGTGTTCTCAAACCGGAATAAACTCCTTGCATTGATGCTGCGCCATCATATCCTTGAGCACAAAGATGTTCTTTCCAGTTCAATTTATTATTTTCAGTTATATAACAAAAAACCTGAAACATGCCAAATCCAGATGCATCTTGGGTGGTTGTTAGAGCTAGAAGACGTTCATAAGTTTCTCCATCAAAAACATATCTGACAACTAAGCAAAATTGCTCTAATTTTGATACATCAGTAGTGGTATCAATTATTACTGAAAATATACCAGCTTTTTTAACTTCACTCAACATTTTTGAACGAACAATATTTGATAATATACTTAATAGTTTGTTTTGGGTATCGTGTGATAAGAATGTAAGTCGATTTCGTTTGTGCTGTTCAATTGTATTTAAATGGTGTTGTAACGTTGGATGATACTTGGCAAACATTTTAATTAATTCTAAAAAGTTTCCTTGATTGGTTGAAAATGTCGATTCATCATGACCTCGCAGTGCAATATTCTGTCGAGCCATAAATATTAAAGAATCAATAATAACCCTAAGTATTTCCCTGTTTTCAGAAACTTGTATATTAGAACCTTGGATAATTTGTGCATCAATACGATTGTGACTTTCATACAATGCTCTACTTAAAACAGATTGAATATGATCGTTGCAGCTTTCATGGTTTTCAATATTTCTTTTTATATTTCTATAATCTCCAGTCCCATCTGAGGCAATTGTAAGTTTTTGAGCTTTTGGCAAACCGAATATTTTACAGGTAGTACAAAATACTTTGTCAAGAGATGATGAGTATGATAGCCACGAACGTTTGATAATTTCACCACATGACTGTGTTTTAAAATAATATTTTTCATGAAAACAACGAACACTGCCATGAGAATCATTTGTTTTTGGAAACTGCCAGTTACTCAACTCCATAGGCGAAGGCTGACAAACACCAAGATTTAAGAAATAACCTTTTAAACCACTGGGTATCAACTTTGGCCATTTACCAGGATCATCATCAAACATTACTGTGGTTTTATCTGTAATAATATATTTTATCTATTATTCTTTAATTTTGTTAAATTACTACTAATTATTACTTAACTTACATAAACAGTAAAGGAACTGTGATAACCAACTAATTAAGTGTTAAATATTTAGTAAATATTTTTAAAAATTTAAGTATTTGTTTCTATTCACCTTCTACAAGTTTAAATCGCAAAAGTTGATAAAAAACAATACATGTTTCTTTTCACCCCACTCGGAAGGTAAATAGAAACAAAACACTTAAAAAAATATATAAAATCAAGCATTAAATATTAAATGTTATCAATGGTGCTATATTAAAGTACTCGCAAAGACCCATATTTTAAAGTATCACTCATTATTCTATGTAAAATATTTAAGATGCTACAAGCTTTAGAAGTTTATAACTGTTTCTATTCACCACATTTGACGGTAGTTAAACTTTTTAATATAAACTATTTCAATTATTAAAACTACAAAAAAATCATACCACTAAACTTAATAAAAAAAAAATAAAAATGGATAAAAAATACACAGCTATCTACCTAATTACAAATTTATAAATAATATTTATATTTAAAATTTATACCTGACACCGATGATTCAATATTCAAGCTTGATGATTCAGTTTCAGTACACATATTTCTCAGCATTAAATGATTTAAATCATGAGAAGATTTAGTTGGCGTTCGCGTTGTTTTAACTTCTAACTCAGGCTCTTCAACTATAAAATGTATAATTTTATTATTTAATAAAATAAATATCTTAATAATGTTTATACCTGACACCGATGATTCAATATTAAAGCTTGATGATTCAGTTTCAGTACACATATTTCTCGGCATTAAATGACTTAAATCATGAGAAGATTTAGTTGGCGTTCGCGTTGTTTTAACTTCTAACTCAGGCTTTTCAACTATAAAATGTATAATTTTATTATTTAATAAAATAAATATCTTAATAATGTTTATACCTGATACCGATGATTCAATATTCAAGCTTGATGATTCAGTTTCAGTACACATATTTCTCGGCAATAAAAGACTTAAATCTTAAAAATGTAAAACCATTTTTTTATAAACCAACACTGAGCTTTATGACAGTTTGCTAAAAATATTATAATATATAATATATATAAAAATATTTAAAATATAAACAATTTATTTATAAAAAAAAAGCATTTGCTAAAGCTAATTTTAAATTATATAATAATTAATTAAAGTTAATGCTGTAAGATAAAGTTTTAACTAGTAATTAGCAATAATATTTAATATCTAATATCTATAAATAAACACAATATTTTATTACTAATAGGATAGTGAAACAAAAAATTTAAAAGGAAAATATTTTGCCCTCCCCTATTGATTGCACTATTTGCACTTTACTCTTTTTTGTATAGGTAGTATTTGAAATGCTTCTTATAATTATTTTTTACAACTTTGCCATTAATTATGGGTTGATTTACATTAATATATATATAAATATAGTATATATATATATTAATATATATATATATATATACCAATACTATTTATTTTATACTTAATCTAAACTTAAAAATTAGTTAAATTCCGATTACCTTAAAATTTGATTAAAATATTTTTCTACTAAATATATATTTTTTAAATTTTGGAAATAAAACAAAAATATACCTGGTGTATTATTAATCGAAGTAGAAGATGTAGCGTCTGAGGTATTACATTGCTGATCAACTTAAATAGTTAAACAATCATAATTTATTAAAATAAAGTAGGTATAGTATACATTTTAGAAGCTTAGTAATTGTTTTTTTATACATACCAATACAACTCTTTTGTTTTTTATTAAAAAATCTATCCAAGTTTCCTTTTTGTCTTTTATTGCACATTTGTTTTTTTTTTTACAAGATTCAATATGTCGATTCCAGTTGGTATCATTTTGATTAACACGTTCACGTTTACAATAATCACATAATACAGGTTTCATATTTTTAAAAAAAATTTGATATTTTGTAAGAATTTAATAAATTAAAAGAAATATATAAAATTAAAAATACTTATTAACTGCACGTCTGCACAAAACCACAGAATAATTTTTAAAAAAAGCTCTGAGTCAACATTGTCAAGTACAGAACAAAACGTTATGATTATTCATTACCTAATCAAATACGCTATACGCTCTAGAAGACTAGAACTAATAAGTAATAATATAAATTATAAACTGTAACTATGTTAGTGTGTAAATATCTAACCAATGTCGACCATACTATTTTTGTTATAGTAATGGTGATACGGTGAGGGTCGCAGGCACAATCGATGTAACATATTGGGATTTCCGTAGTTTTTATATAAATAGAAAAATATACGGAGCATATTACTTACTAACACGGTATATTATATACCATGCTTACTAAACATGTATGATAAATTTTATAGTGCCGAGTTTATAATTGTTATTGGATTATTTAAAACAGAACTAAAATAACTACGACAACACACGCATGTCGATTGTCGATACAGTGACTTGGTAGCATACTAGCATACTGCATATTATATTATATTATACTAATTATAATATTTGTCATGATATTTATGTTGAGATCTTACAATTATACACCCACCCGGAGCCGGCTACCCACCACCCACCCATTTCAGACATGAAGCAATTGCTTCAAATAATCCTGTATCCCGCCGCCACTGACTTACATGTAATTGTGTAGTAACATCGGAATCATCGGATAAAATTTTCGGTTTATTTAAAAACTTTACTAACGAACCACGAATGAAGTTTATGTTTTCTTCAATTAGTATTTTTTTTTTAATTTTTCACTACCAGATAAATATTTTCGGAACTTGTCTCGTAGCCTTGACATTTTTGATTTTATATTTAATATTATTATATTATTTACCAGTTCAAAAGTTCAATAGTATATAATTATAGCGTATTAGTTAATATTACTTATTATTAACGTCGTACGGTAGATTACCTAATGCTATTATTACTATTACTAACTACGGCATCGAGTATCGACTGAAAATGGTAATTATCGGTAATTATCGATAGTTAGTGACTGTGTGGAGGGGACTTCACATGCGGACGAGCCGGCCGGAACGTCGAGGCGACGTCGTTAATTCTTCAGGGAACTACACCACAGCCAAAAGTAGATTGCAAGTGATAACATATTATTGTCTAATGTAATAAATAAAAAAAAATTAAATAATATTAGAAAATATAAATACTATAAATAACATTTTATTGTTCCATTCAACAATTTTACATGAAAAAAAAAAATGATATGTACATTTTTTTTTGCTCGTCAACGACCTTTTATTGTATCTATGAAATCTAGCCTGTCCAATTGTGGTGAGCCCGCTCGCCCTGCCCTAAGGACGGCCTTGTCAGCAGTACACGAATTGGTAATATGGTTGCCGGTGACCGGCATCCGAGATAAATCACCGTCTCAATCGCCAATCGTCGTCGCGATGAGAGTAGTGGGGATGGATAAGCGGTGGGTCAGGGGATATTTACGATATTTTCGTTCCATACGCAAAATCGGTCTTAAAAGTACTTAAACATTTTTGCTTATAACTTATAAACTATCTAACCAACCGGCTAGCAAATTCCTCTATCCCCATCTACACAATATTTCTGATCGATTGATACATAATACGACTTTATATGTTCAGCCGTTTGCCCTATAGCGGTTGACAAAGAATTGACATAAATTAGGACGGATTATCAATGGTAAAACTCTAGCTCCTGTTATTATACGTTAGTGGCTACTTAGGGTTCCGTAGCCAAATGGCAAAAAATGGAACCCTTTATGGACTCATCATGTCTCTCTGTCTGTCCGTCCGTATGTCACAGCCACTTTTTTCCGAAACTATAGGAACTATACTGTTGAAACTTGGTAAGTAGATGTACTCTGTGAACCGCATTAAGATTTTCATACAAAAATAGAAAAAAACAATACATTTTGGGGGTTCCCTATACTTAGAACTATAACTAAAAAATGTTATTTCATCAAACCCATACGTGTGGGGTATCTATGGATAGGTCTTCAAAAATTATATTGAGATTTTCAGTATCATTTTTTCCTAAACTGAGTGTAGTTTGCGCGAGAGACACTTCCAAAATGGTAAAATGTGTGCCCCACCCCTATAACTTCTAAAATAAGAGAATGATAAAACTAAAAAATATATATGATGTACATCATCATGCAAACTTCCACCGAAAATTGGTTTGAACGATATATATTATAGTATGTAGTTTTTGTTTAATACGTCATAAACCGTGAACCTTATTTTCTAATAATAAATCTGTAATAGGCGCCTAAGTAAATAATAATTATAACTCAAGCGTGGCTTGATCGGTAGCAGGGCGCGCGGGGGGCAGGTTTTCGACTGCGCTTACCTGAACAGGTAATATTATTATAATATTAGATAAGACTTCTGCTGGACCTTGTGGTGGGGCCAAAGGTTGAAACGAACGAAACGACAATCGATAGATCTCGCTAGAGAGCGTTCTGTGCTTTACGGCGGCCCGGTGTCGTAGCACAGAGTGAACAGAGAGATATATATACAGGAAAACGGACGATATTTTGATTTTTACATGCAACGTATATGGAGAACGGTTGAATTTACTAGTTTTTCGCTTTCGCAATACCGCGTTGAGTTGTGACGATATGCGCATGCGTGAGTGCGTGACCTTGGTTGCACGGCGGCGCGGCAGTGTGGCATAGCGCACTGCGCAACGCGCTTCCTAAAATCCTACTCCTAATTCCTATTACCATTTCATTTGCTCGCTAGCCTCCGTGCTGCAGGTTGTGTGTAGCACTGTAGCCGTATTGTCCGTCCGTTCGATTATTATTTATTACTATCCGTACGGCGTACATTATTACAATAACAGTGATAAACGTACCGACGGTCGGCCGTATGTTAATCTTTCTCTGCTGTCTCGCGGAGTCCGTATTTTATGCAAGTACTGCATAAACTACTAATTAAAAGACCATGGCCGATCAATTCAAAAAATGCTCACATATTAGTATTAGAAGAGAAATAATATATAATTATAGAATAGATTATCAAGGTACTTTCCTGTTATACTAGACTACCCTGTTTTTTGAGAACATCACAATCCTGTTATCTAAGACTACCAAAATTATACTTTCCTGTTATACGAGACTACGGCTATTATCGCGACTTCCACCAAAGACTACCTCCGTTATGGCGACTACCTATCTTATTTATCTGACATTATAGTCGAACGATATCCATAAGCTGCGATTATATTTATTATATTTGTGGATTTATCATTTTGTATTATTATTATTATTTTATTGTTTTCCGTATGCCGCGACAAATTTGGTACATTACAAATAATTATTATGTATTACATTTTTTTTTATATAATTTGGATGTGGCCATCCCCACAATACGTACCTAAATTATTTATTATTTTATTTGTGATTTACCATTTTGTATTATTATTATTATTAATTTATTGTTTTCCATACATCGCGCCAAATTTGGCACTTTGACGTGTAACATGTAAAATACATTACGAATAATTACTATGTATTTAAATGTTTTCTTTATTTCATTCTGGCCATCCCCAAAGTACATATTATTAAAAAATCTATCAAAGAAGGAAAGAAAAATAAAGGTGGTCACGTATAACAGGAAGTACCATTTTGGTAGTCTTAGGTAACAGGATTGTGATGTTTCACAAAATAAGTGCGGTAGTCTCGACAACGGAGGTAGTCTTGGGTGGTAGTCGCGATAACAGCCGTAGTCTCGTATAACAGGAAAGTACCATTATCAATATAGAATTAATGTCTCTTGCTTCAGAAAAATAGCTGAAATCTCCAAAAAAAACTTCGGAGAAGTAAAACAAGTCTTCTGTGCTTTACTTAAATGGATTGGAGTACTTGAATTTTGAGGTAAATAAAAAATTGAAATCAATATCAAAATTCTGTGCTTAGTAGGTGCAAGAGAGAGTATAAAGAAAGTTCCTGTTAAAATTGTGGTAAATAAAGAAGTGAAATCAAACCTCAAAATTCTGTGCTAAAACTTAATTGACTATTGAAGAAAATTCGATGACATGCAATTTTACCACATTTTTAGCTACAAAAAAAATTGCACAGAACGTTCCACATTTGCCCGCAAAAATTCACATGTCCATGGATGCACTTCGTTCTGTGCAATTTTTTTTGTAGCTAAAAATGTGGTAAAATTGCATGTCATCGAATTTTCTTCAATAGTCAATTAAGTTTTAGCACAGAATTTTGAGGTTTGATTTCACTTCTTTATTTACCACAATTTTAACAGGAACTTTCTTTATACTCTCTCTTGCACCTACTAAGCACAGAATTTTGATATTGATTTCAATTTTTTATTTACCTCAAAATTCAAGTACTCCAATCCATTTAAGTAAAGCACAGAAGACTTGTTTTACTTCTCCGAAGTTTTTTTTGGAGATATAATGTATAATAATCGGATCGATAATATTTTTATCGGAACATTCGTCGATAGTTGATTTAAAAAAATTACACTATTTTTAAAACATCGATCAAAGCTACTTATTATTTATGTTACTTGCTGCTACGGAATCCTTCATGGGTGAGTCCGACTTGCACTTGGCCGCCTTTTTTTTACTTAGCTTCGCGCCACTACCATCGCGTTGGCTATTGTAACAGACTAAAAAAAAATAATATGTTTGGGGAGTGGAATTGCAATATAAATAATGAATAATAATATTAGAGGCCCAAAATTCCGTGACGTTACAACTATTAAAATAAATAATAATTTCAATAAGTAATTACCTGTTTTGAAGAAATTTTTCTGTAGCTATTTAGTAAAAAAAACTAAAAATGGCAAACACTTAACGACAGTAGCGGATCTGAAGCTCATTTAAGGAGGGGGCGAATTGGTATCATAGAATTTCAATATATACATATTATATTAGTCAATAGACATCTGTTATCCGTAAAAAAATATTAAACATCATAAAAATTCAACAGTCTTTTATTCAATATTAAATAAACAAATGTATTAAAAATTTATTTGAGTAACAATTGTATGGTTCTTTTTTTTAAAAGCCGCAAATCTGTCAATGATTTTTTCCACATCAATGTCTATGTGTCATTATGAGTATTGAGTAAAGCTAAGCCAGTTAATCTTTCTTCACCCATGAGTGACCTCATCCACGTTTTGAATCTAATAAACGAAGCAATAAGCAAAATACTAAAAGCAGGAAAGTTTATATGGTTATCAGCTTGCAGTAAAGTTATAGGAAGTAAAATTGCTAAGATATACACTTAACTGTTTTAAATATACATTAATTTTAAAAATATGGTTTAAATTATAAATGAGGCAGTTTAAACAATAATATTTTATAATAAGTTCAAATATTAAGAGAACGTTACACCCGCATGTGGTATCTCCGTCTCACAAAATATGTATACAACACAGCAAAAACTGTTTTGAGTGGGATAGAACCAATCAGGCTGTAGTGATAGTAAAGACTCCAAATTGTTATACAATATAGTTCAGAACATTATATGTGAAATATAATTATTTTTTTTTTATATGACTTATACGAAAAAAAGTTCTTATTATTTCAAAATCCATTATTTTTTGTTTTTTTCATACTTCAATAACTTTTTTCTGTAGTTCCGATATCGAAAAAATAAATATGATATTTCACAGCTGGTTCCGGTTGATCCGGTAGTGTTCGTCACTTCCGGCACCGTGACCACGGCGAGGTGCGGGGTCGCCGGCCCTGGCTGTGACGGGTCTGGTGTCATCTCTGGGGCTGCTGTTTCGGGAGGTGCCGGTTTTTCCAGGCGGTGTTGTTGGGACGTCACCTTCGCCTTGTAGTCCCGCATCCGCTGCTTGTTCCGGCGTTGAGGGCGTTTTTTTGGCTGGTGGTGTTGTCGGCGTGGGTGGTGTTGGCGGCGGTTGTTGGTGGTGGCATTTGCACTGTCTTTGGCGCCGGTACCGGCGTCTTCATCAGCGGACGGGGTGGTGGTCGCCCTGTTACCCGCTGTAGTAAACCGACGTTTTTGCACAAAAACGGCGTTCCAAAGGTTAGGTGGCCTGAACAACATCACGCCACCAAAATAGGCCACTGAGGCTGCCGCCTCATTGGTTAATACTGATCGACTACGTATCACGCCATTCCTATGACGTCAATCATCCTTTCCTAAATCCCGGGCATGTCTCATATAAATAGGGGCCCTGTTTCACAGACTTTTCAGACATAGAAGTAGTTACCAGTGCTTTACAATACTTGTGTGGGTCGCGGACTAGAAACAGCCGCATCGCCGTCCACATCAAGTACAAATTAAATTACAACTATTCTCCGGTAGAATTATTATTCTGTCGACAAATTTCAACTTACTTAAAATTAACTATATTATTAGTTTCGTGTTAATAAACATATATCAATAATTAACTACATTTGGTGTTAAACTACTTATTCTACCTTCACTTCAACCACCATCCTCCGATTCATTGCGACGACGTGTACGTGCATTCGTCGTTAAAGAAATGTGCAGTAACCAATCAAGTGAGAGCGACGGGTTACTACATAAAATTTGGAGTCAGGTGTGGGGTTTCACTTCATCAAACGAAAACTTTTTGAGTACATCGAAAAAAGTACTTTGAGACCCACCGGCGAAACCACGTTCACAACGTCAAGGAGGAGTGAGGGCAGTAAGAACATTCAATCAAGAGCATTCCAAACAAGGTCAGTCCAGGGAGGACAGTAAGAGCATTCAATCAAGGGCAGTCCAGGAAGGACGTTTTCAAAAAAAAAATCAATATTTCACGGGCAATTAAGACTACATGATGCAAAATTTTTAAGTCATTTGAATAAAATATTGTAGATAGATCTAATTGGCAAATTGTTGCATATAATCCCGTTACACTAAGAATTAAAATGGTTAATCCAGATCAACTAAGTTTAGAAGGGGCAATCAAGATAGTACCTTCATTTTCGGGAGGATCAGAATCAGAGTTAGCTTCCTTTTTGGCTAAATGCGAATTCATTTTTAAAAGTATCCCTAATACTTTAAAACCCCTTATTTTAGAAGCCATAATAACTCAGTTAAAAGGTAATGCATTCGAGGCCGTTAGGTATAAGGTAATTACCACCTGGGATGAATTAAAAAATTTATTTAAAACCATTTTTGGTTCAGCACATTCAGTGTCGTACTTACAGGTACAATTAAATCAAATGCGTCAAAATTCGAAAGAATCGATTAGAGTTCTAGATTAGGATTGAAAAAACTGCATGTTAACGAATTAACACACGCGTTAACGGTAGATAAAGACCAAGCGCAAGTAAATATTATAGCTCAAACAGTGCGAGCGCATGCACTAAGCGTATTCATAGCGGGAGTCTCACAGTCTATCGGAATTATATTAAAAGCGCGCAATATTTAGGTATTCGAGGTAGCAGTTTTACACGCAATGGAGGAGGAAAAATCCACCGAATATTATAATAACGCGTTCGGGAATAATAAGTTTCAGAATAATAAAAATATATTCGATAAAAAAAAAGTTCAACGATAAAAGCGCGGTTAAATGCCACCGTTTTGAACGAGTCGGTCATTACGCAAACGAGTGTAGAACTAGCGAACATAAATTACCTAGTTTTAGAAATCCGAACAGCGGTCAAAGTCCGAAGACAGAAATTAAACGCTAATATTCTAGTAAATTCTGCAAATATTGTAAAATAACTAATCACGACATTAGCGAATGTCGGAAATTAAAATATAATGAAAAAAAGAAACTCGAAGAGGAAAATAATCGGTGCGATCAAAATAGATCCATCGAAGAAATACAATCGGGAAGTAACGTACGCGTAATAACGCCTATAACGCGGGAATATATAAAATGTTTCTCCGATAAATTTGTTAAATGCGAAATCAAATTTTTAATTGATAAATTTTCTCTGGTTCTGAAATGAACATTATAAAAATTTCAAGTTTAAAAGGGCATATAATCGTGAACGAAAACAATAAGAAAAAAATTAAAGGTATTCATGCAAATCCAGTAGAGACAGTGGGAATAGTAGTGATTCTAATTTATATTAACAAACAACCTTTCGTAGTAAAATTCGACATTGTGCATGATAATTTTCCAATACCCAAAGCAGGTATATTAGGCATATCATTTTTTAAATTAAATAAGGTCGTTTTGGATTAGGATAAAGAAGTATTAATTATCCCAGAAAAAGTAAGTAATAACGCACCAATTATTCCGCCGAGGAGTAATTGTGTATTACAAATAAGAGCCGACGAAGAAATCAATTACGAAGCAATAACGATAAAGAAATATGAAATTAATGAAGACGTAATTATAGCTAATAGTATCAGTCCGGTCAAAGGTGATAAAATAATAAGTAATATGATAAATATATCCGAACAACCGTTTATAATCGAACAATTAACCACGAGTAATTTTAAATGGGAACCGTACCATGAGAACGTTTTTATTACTAGCGAAAGCAACAACTACTCTTTAAATAGAATTAAAAGGATCATCAAAAGGAAATATTGCGTTCACGTTATGGCAATAAGCGTGATCTTGCTCGTATCCACCTTGATGCTCTGCTCGCTAACCAGATTGTTAAGTCCAATGATGGCTCCTCTATTAAAACTCAGATCAATACGATCTTAGAGAACACTGCTGCTTTGGACAATCTTGACTTTGTAACGCGTCAATGGAGTCCACTTCTGGTGCACATCGTTGAACATAGGCGCAAATAGGGGGGGGGGGGCTAGGGGGGGCTTAGCCCCCCTAAGAATTGCTATAGCCCCCCCCAAAAACAAATGATTTTACTGAAGAAATAGAAGCTCAAGAATCCAAAGATGTAGCACAAGATATTGGTATAATTTATTTATTAATATTTCAATAAAAGGAGACTGGGGCAGATTTGAATGAAAATTACATTTTGATTTTTAATTTTTTTTTTTTTTTCATTGAATTTGAAGTATTATGGTCCTGTTAGATTCTCATGATATTTTAACATCATACTGTAATAATTTTAAATCTATATCATTAAATAATAGTTTATTATAAAATGTTAAACACAAGTAACTTTTTATTCATATGTGCCCCATACTAGGGGTATATTTGAATCCATGCGGGGCACATTTGAATGTGTCTTTGCATTAAAAAATTAACACACATAAAAGTACCAAAAAGTAAAGGTAAAGGTTTTATTTTAAGACATTTTCTCAGTACAGTTCTCTTAAAATTATGATAACAAACTTTGGTCATATCACATCCTACCTAATAGTTAAACAAAAAATAAAAATATATTCTTTCATCAATAACATTTAAAACATAAGTTATGTTTCTGTTGAAAAATTAAAAATAGGTAGTTACTTACTTACCTATAGCCTATTATATAAATAACAAAATATAAAACATAACAATTTCTCTTAAAAAATTAAAAGTAGTTATTAAGATAGTTACTTAAGTACCTATCTACCTACTTAAAAATAGTAAAAATAACAAATTGAATTAATCTAAAAAAGTCTTTAAAATGTTTTCATAATCAGTCTTTTAAATGTAATTAACCCATATTATACTTTCCAAATAATATTTTAGGAAAAGTTAAAACCGAACAACTTCTTTCAGTGTTACCAGTTGCTGTTGGTTTAGGTAACACCATCTCAATATCTGCTTTTGCTACATTGTCTGTATCTTGTATATCAGGATATATAAATGTATCACCCAGAGTTCTTTTCAAAAAAGAAATTTCATAATGATTTTGGTCAACATCATCAACACATCCAACAAAATACTTAACTGACTTAGGTCCACTATATTTTACAAGAACAAAATCTCCAAATGTAATGTCTCCAGACATTTCTTCATCACTTGTTTGTAATTTTAAATATTCGTTACTTTCATCACTACTAGAGCACAGGTCAAATAAAGCTCTTTTTGTGGTAGCTTTTTTAGGAGGATTTGATGAAGTCTTTTTTTTTACTGTTTTGTTTGGTTGCTTTTTTTTCTGGCGTTCTTCAGTTTCTTTTTCTATTAAATTTTTTTCTGGTGTTTCTGTTAAAATGCGTGCTTTGCCTTTTTTGCGGCCTCTCTTTTTTTCTAAACGAGGTCCAGCTTTTGGATATGTACGAACATCTTCAGGAGAAATAAGTTGAGTATTATTTTCCAATGTACTTGGTGATGTAATTTTAGTTCCAGGAATAGTTATTTGTGCTGAAGTAGATGGTAAGCATTCTTCATTTGAAATATTTAATTCTAAATGCTGTTGATTATTTTCTTCTGGTTCTGGACGATCAGTTACATAAGACGGAGTAAAATCATCGTCTGGAAACACTAGTCTGGAAAATGGCCATAATCCAGTTTTAGAAAAAGCTGATGTTATATTACGTAAATTAAAAGAAAGCTGAAATGGTTCTTTTACCAGATTTGGTAAGTCATGAATTTTTAATGTTTTACCAGGATTATTGGTCATCCAGTCATTTTGAGCAATTTTCACTTTAGATTTAAATGGTCCTAATACACCAACATCCAACGGTTGCAGACGATGTGTGGTGTGTGGTGGGAAGGTAACAAGAACAATCCCATTATCCTTTGCATATTTGACAACTTTGAAAGAACAGTGAGATTCGTGGTTATCCATTAGAAGAATTATTTTATCATCGATTGTACATCTTGTAGTTTTTTTGATGTGTTCCAAGACTTTAACAAATAAATTTGAATTGATCCAAGCACTAGTAGGTGAATTTACCAAACCTAAACTGCCTATTGGAGCACCCACCATTAAATTATCACTTAATCGAGCTCTAGGAAATATAAAAACCGGTGGAACGACTTGACCAGTTGCACTGACTGTCATTACAAAATTAATCATAGGTCCCCCTTTCGGCTGAGACACATTGCCCTACTTGTTTTGTTCCTTTTTGAGCTACGACATTTGGTGGATCAAGTACTGTTGAAACGCCAGTTTCATCTACATTGAAAATACGGTCACTTGACACTGGAAATTTCCTTAATGCCTTTTCATAAAGTACGAAAAACATCATCACATTATTTTTGTTAAAAGAAGTTGCTCTGGCTAAACTTGTTTTTTCTGGTTTTCTGATAGACAAGCTAGGGTGACGTTTCATAAATCCTAATTACCAATCAATACCAGCTATACAATTTTCCGACCATGCTTTGGGTCCCTTAATGTTTGATTTTAAAGAATAATCATAAGCTAATTTTCTAATTTGTTTACAAGTTAGACCATAGTTAATTTCTGAACATTTTATGATATATTCAACAAGGAGGGATTCTTGAACTTTGCTAAAAACTTGGTTTACTGTGTATTTGGAGTTAAATTTTGGTTCTATTTAGGTTATCCACTCACCTTCGGGCGTTTTTAACTTTTTTAATCTATAATATAATGTTGTGTACTTAACACCATTATCTTCTGCAGCTCTTTTGGCACATTTGCCATCTTTTACTTCATTTATTGCCTCTTGAATATTCCTTTCCTTCAATTCAACATTCACTGTTCTTTTCTTAATATAATTTCTTACCATTTTCTTAAAATAAAAATACAATTTATGAGATCAATACCTATGTTTAAAACCAATTCAAATCTACCCCACTATGGAATATTCAATTGTACCCCATAGTACATATTTCAATATATTTATCAAAAGCTGTACAATGAAATACAATATCACATTCAATAGTATTCCATTTGAAAGAATATTAAATTTTAATTTAGTATGTTTTGTTAAATACTTACTGAATTTTGTTGTTTCTTTCTCAATCTCTTATTAAGATGGTAATAAACCAGTAACGAAAAGTTCAAAAACACATTTTTATTTTATATCATAAAAATATTGATAACAGATAGCTGATGAACATATCATATGTTGGGTACAGTATGACCAACCTTCTGTATTTTACTTGAATTTATTTTATCATTATAGCTAGAGTTATTTAATCAATTCAAATCTACCCCGCATTCAAATCTGCCCCAGTCTCCCCTATATAATTATTTTCTACAAACTAATGTTTTAATGTTTTAGGTGTTTTAGCAACTATGAAAAATGTAAAGTTTGTTGTATATTTGTTTATTTTACATGAAGTTCTCAGAATAGTTAATATATTGAGTACTCAGCTTCAAGCAAAATTGGCCGCATTAGGAAATTCTGCTAATTTAGTTTAAGGAATTATAAGTACTTTAGAAACTAATCGATCATCTTGCCATTTTAATGAGATTTGGGATGGTGTCATAACATTTTGCGATAAACATAATATTTCAACTCGTAAAGACGAACCGAAGAGACAAAGAAAAGAGCCTACGTTTCTCAAAGGTTTTGATGTTACAATTGCAACTGGAGCTGAGGAAAACAATAGAATAATTGATGAAAAGACATATTGGAAAACAACTGTTTTTTCCCCATATTAGACACAGTGATTTTCAATATGAAAAGGCGGTTTTCAGAAGAAAGTTTCCAAATGGCCACATCTATTGACAAATTGTTTAAAATGGATTTCGAAGGAAGTCATTTTATTATTGACCATTATAAGGTAATTCATTGAAAATATAATAACATATAATAATTATTTTAAAATTTAGTTGTATAAAGTATATTTTTTATTTTTTTGTTTTATTTAGGATGTTTTTAAATTAAATACAGAAAACTTAAAATGTGAAATGACTGTCTTTAAAAATATAATAAAAAAAAACATAGAATTTGAACATATCAAGGAACACCTAAGTAAACAAGTTTTTCCCAACTTGTTTAAAGTTGTTCAAATAGCAATTACATTGCCTGTAAGTTCAGCCACTTCTGAGAGGTCATTTTCCACAATGCGAAGAATAAACACCTACTTAAAATCTACTATGTCCCAAAACCGGTTTAGCAATTTAGGCATACTTGATATTGAAAAAGATATTGTTATTGACGTGGAAGAGATTCTAAATACTTTTAGTAAAACCGAAAGGAGAATTAAATTATTGTAATGAGGCTTACTATAAGAATAAAAAAAATTGATGTCAAAAAAATACCAATGTGTTAATATAATATTAGATGATTATGTGAATTTTAATTTAGATGGTATATTGTATATATATATATGTATATGTACCTATATATGTTTATGTTTATTTGTAGTTCATGTTGCTGCAGCAAGGTAAATTTTTTTTAGTGGTTTTGTAATAATTTAAAAGCATCATAAGAGTATTCAGTATCCTGATCTGAGCTACGGCTTCAGCCCCCCCAGATTTCAAACACTATTTGCGCCTATGTCGTTGAAAAACATCTTGATTATGAACTTCGTGCTCGGTGGGAATTGGTCGTTGGGGAGAATCATTATCCTCAAATTTCTGACTTTGTTGATTTTTTGCGTACTCATCTGCGGTCTGCGGAAATTTATTCCAGTTGTTCATCATCTGACCGACACAACAGTGCATCGAAACCGCACAAGTCAGTTAAGCAATCAAATTTCAACGTTGTTGAAATGTTCTTCAAGCGTTCTAGCCACCACTTCGAGTACTTCATCCGTCAAGCCGTGTCCACTGTGTAATGCACCTCATTCAATAAGGTCATGTACCCTATTTACTGATAAGCCTCCAAACGAACGCTTTCATATTGCAAAAACGCATCGTTTGTGTATAAATTGTCTGGGGACAGGTCACTCCTCAGCGCGATGCCCTTCAACCTATACATGTCAGTCATGTAGGAAAAGTCATCACTCGCTGTTGCACTTTAATCCTACTGCTAATAAACCAAATACCTTCGGTTCAGTATCGTCAAATACATTATCCACTAAGACCTGTGTCTGGGGCTGAGTCACATGTTACGACTACCTCATGTCTTGTTCGAGGACAACCTCAGCGCATCGTTCTATTGTCAACAGCAGTAGTGGACGTCTATGCTGCCGATGGACGGCGACACGCGTTAAGAGCTTTATTAGACTCTGGTTCACAAGCTAGCTTTATCACAGAACGAGCTGCTTGTGCACTTATGCTTCGTCAATTCCGATCTTCTGTCAGCGTTACTACATTCGCTAGTTCAGACTCTACAGTTGTTCGGGGCAAATGCAGTATTAAGATGTCTCCCTCCGGTCAACAAGCACCCTCTTTTTCTCTTGACGTATCGATAGTTCCGCACATAACTGGACCAACTCCTCAAATTCCGGTCACGTTTGGACACTGGGATCACATTAATAGTCTCTCGCTGGCTGACCCATCATATAATACACCTGGCCCAATTGACTTACTAATCGGAGCTGATCTATTACCTTCAGTGTTCCTTGATGGCACTCGAAAGGGTCAAGTTGGTGAACCTCTCGCAATGAACTCTGTTTTTGGATGGGTGCTCATGGGCCCTACGGAACTTTATGACCGCTCTTCTGTTGCCACACTTAGCGTAAATATATCTGAACCTATTGACTCGTTAATTAAAAAATTCTGGGAACTTGAAGAGCTACCCACCGCTTGCCATTTGAGTCCAGCTGACGTTGCTGCTGAGAAAATATATACTTCTACTACAACTCGTTTAAGTTCAGGCAGATTTGTTGTCACTCTTCCGTTTCTGAAACCTCGTCCACTGCTTGGTGACTCGAGAACGTTAGCGTTGCAACGGTTCAAGGCCCTAGAATGTCGTCTCAACCGCAACAAAGACCTGCAAGATCAATACTCAGAGTTCATGCGCGACTATCTGACGGCTGGTGCTTAAACCCGATAGCCTGACTACAAAGCTTAGGGTTGTATTCAATGCATCTGCAAAAACGTCAGCCGGTATATCCTTAAACGACAGTATGTACACAGGTCCTAAACTGCAACCTGACATACAAGTTGTTCTCCTCCGTGCTCGACTTTGGAAATACTTATTTATGGCTGATATAAAGCAAATGTATCGCCAGATTCTCATCAGACCAGCTGACAGAGATTATTTGCGGATTCTGTGGAGATTCTCACCCACATCTCCGATTGACGAGTACCGTTTATGTACAGTGACGTACGGCACCTCTGCAGCACCCTTCCAAGCACTTCGCACTGTCCGCGAGTTAGCGACTGTAGATGGTGCAAAATGGCCGATAGCTGCGTCTGTGTTGTTGAATGACACGTTTGTTGATGACATCCTGACCGGAGCCAACTCAACAGAAACGGCTCTTGAATGCCAAACCCAATTAATAAACTTGTGTGCTTGTATGCTAGTCCTTTCAGACATTGCTAGGATTTTTGATCCGTTAGGCTTGCTGTCGCCAATAACATTCTGGACCAAGCATGTCATGCAGCAACTTTGGATTGCTGGAATCAAATGGGATGAAGAAATACCAAAGGATATCGCTGTAATGTGGACACGATATCAGTCAGAGCTGATGTTAATTGAAACCGTTTCTATTCCTCGTCGAATAACGTTTGATGACGCCACATCGATACAACTCCACGCATTCTCGGATAGTTCGGAAAAAGGATACGCTGCAGCCGTTTACCTTCGAACCACGACTTCTACCTCAGTTCATTGTCACCTTGTGACCGGCAAGTCGAAAGTGGCGCCTCTAAAAAGGTCTACGATTCCGCGACTTGAACTCTGTGGAGCTGTCTTAGCTGCCAGACTTCTACGGTTCGTCATCGATACCTATTCAACTCGTATCAAAATCGATAAATTCCATGCCTGGACAGATTCAACCACCGCTTTAGCGTGGATACAGTCATCTCCTCATCGTTGGGCTACGTTTGTTGCTAACCGCACTAGCCAAATTCACGAGCTTACGTCACCCGACATTTGGAACCACGTCCCCACACATCAAAATCCAGTCGATTGTGCGTCTCGCGGACTCTTTCCATCAGAACTTGCTACTCATCCATTGTGGTGGACAGGACCTGCATATTTACTAGAATCTTCTGACAAGTGGCCGTCTGCTGTATCCCGTGCAAATACAACTGATACTCACATCTCCACAGAAGCGCGAAAATGTACCATCCTCCTAACTACGACAAACTGCTCAATTAGTAACGTTCTACAACGTTTCTCATCTTTAGACAAAGTCCTTCATATTATAGCCTATTGTCTTCGGTTCTCCAAATCAAGTCCAGGTACATCGTACACACACCTTATTGATGCTAGGGAACGGTCCCATGCCTTATCGGCCCTAGTCTTTTACGTTCAACAAACGTCATACCCCGATGACATTTCGTCCATAAAAAAAGGTTTGCGTTGTTCTCCCGCCATTCAGAAACTCGATCCGTTCATTGACGATCATGGACTTATCAGAGTGGGCGGACGTCTCACGAACGCTGACCTGCCATACGCTCACAAACATCCATTGCTATTACCATGTCATCATCGCTTAACCGTGTTACTCATTGACCATCATCACCACAGGCTAAAACATCCAGGATCTATAGCCCTTCAAGCTCATTTGCAGCGTGAATTCTGGATACCATCGGCACGAAGACTTATTCGATCTCGTATACGACTCTGCGTCGCATGTTTCCGTACCCGGCCACGGTCAGTTCAGCCCAAAATGGCCAGTCTGCCAAGTTATCGAGTTCAACAAGTTAAACCGTTTGCCATCACTGGTGTGGACTACGCTGGTCCTATCACGCTGAAGGAACCTCGTGGTCGTAAATCAGTACCTAAACTAGCGTACTTTTGTTTGTTCGTATGCACCACTACAAAAACAATTCACTTAGAACTGAGTTCTGACTTGTCCACCGAATGTTTTTTGATGGCGTTTACTCGGTTTTCAGCCAGACGTGGGCCTATTAAGGAAATGCACAGTGACTGCGGGACCAACTTTATTGGAGCGTCACGGTTGATGGATCCACTTCATTAACTTACGCATTCCCAACTATTTCAAGACAGTGTTCATCGCCACCTTGCCAATCATCATATAACTTGGCACTTCAACCCTCCAGCATCTCCACATTTTGGTGGCTTATGGGAAGCAGGAGTCAAGTCCACTAAATCATTAATCCTTCGATCAATTGGCATCCACAAATTGACCAGTGAAGAATTCCTAACACTGCTCACCCAGGTTGAAGCGACCTTAAACTCACGCCCGTTATGTGCACTCAGCAACGACCCAGATGATTTCGAAGCGTTGACACCTAGTCATTTTTTGACTCTAGAGCCTTCGACGTCACTTCCTGACCCAAGTCTAGTCAATGTTCCGATGTCGAAATACCAACGATGGCGATTAATCACAGATCTACACCGACATTTTTGGACACGATGGAAGAACGAGTACCTTAGTAGCCTTCAAATCAGGAAAAAATGGTCTGCACCCGGTCAGGAACTCCGTATTGGTGACCTTGTCCTCGTCAGGGAGGCGATACATCCTCTTCGTTGGAGAACTGGAAGAATTCGTGAACTCCATCCTGGCTCAGACGGAATCTCCAGAGTGGCCACTCTCGACACTTCATCTGGACCATTGAAGCGCCCAGCGGTCAAGCTCTGTCCACTCCCAATCTCTTGAAGGGATTCCTTCAAAGTGGGCGGTGATGTTCGCGCCTAGTAATTAGCGACACGATATCGTTATCGTTGTGCCGCGACGACGACCGTTCCTTTTCTTTATCATCTCTCGGCTCCACCGACACCTCTCATTATTTAAATGTGTATTATTGTTATTTTTTGTATTCATTATAATTATCAATGTTCTTTGTCCATTATTATTGTCTATCCTCTGTCTTTGGGCATGATTATCATTGTGTGTAATCATATCTTTTTTTCTCTGTTTACTTTATACGGCCAACGCCCCTTTTTTTGTTTTTATTATATTATCGTATGCTGTGTTGTTGTCGTGTATCATCTTCTTCTAACAGGTGTCTCGCTCTTGTGTTTTTTGATCTGCTATTAAAGCAATCTTTTTATTATTATGTATTATTCACTACAACAGTGAGCACCAAATCTATTATTCTTAATTTATTTATTACTGCAATGTGCACCTGGTTGCTCACTGTTCTTATTAGTATACTTTGTGTCGCTGTTATACAACAATCTCAATAAAACACGATCTCATACCCAAAACTGAATGCGTAAACCATTTAATATTATTCTTATTATCATCATCATCATAATAAACGAGTCGTCCGCGTAAGTCCGCCAGCAACGTACGTTGTGTGAGAGTCCGTACAGGTCGTCGAGAGTCAACTTCCCGAGCTGCGTCTTCGGCAGCGTATCACCGTCTCCGGACTTCCGTAATATTTAAGTTAGTTTGTAAGTACTGGCCTTATATTGTGAGCTCTGTGATCATTGCACCATACCAGAATCGATCACAGAGACCTCTCCCAATAATTAAACTGCATCATCCTAACTCCAACAATAGGTCATTCCCATCCTTATCGTCGTCGTGCAACTATAACTGCCTATCCGCAAACAATAAGGCGTAGGCATATTCAGTTGCTTAATTACTGTTAGTCGGCACCTTTTAAAAAAAGCGCTAATAGTAATAATCTCGTCTCGGTTGTTATCGAGTGGTCCTTCGGGTAGCCCCCCTATTGGTGGGCGCGAACACCTAGAAAATATTCTAAGTTTCTATTTTTAACCTCAAACTCTTTCTCCAAGTTTGTTAAAAGTTTCTCTATTATCTCTTCATTATCTGCCGCGATTAAACCATCGTCAACAAATATTGCAAGAATAATTTGGCTGTTATCAGCTTTGAATACACATGCATCCGCTTCGGTATATTGTAAACCAAATGCATTCAAAAAGTTCTTAAAGCGTATATTCCAACATCTTGGACTTTGTTTTAAGCCATACAAACTTTGCTGAAGCTTACATACTTGATTTGAGCCATCTTCGTAACCTGGTGGTTGTACCATGTATATTTCTTCCTGTAGTTCCCCGTACAGAAATGCTGTCTTGATGTCGAATTGTCGTAATATTAACTTTTCCACAGCTGCTACTGCGAATATAGCCCTAATTGATACGTATCTGACCACTGGCGAAAATGTTTCATGGTAATCTATACCATATTTCTGTGAACAACCCTTAATGACCAATCTGGCCTTAAATTTATCTATACTACTGTCAATTTTATATTCCGTTTTGAACACCCATGCATTTCGTAATGCAACTTTATCCTGTGGAAAATCGACTAGAGTCCAAGTCTGATTTTCGTGTAATGAATTAATTTCGTCGTTCATAGCATTATTCCATTCATTTTTGTTTGACCCAGTAATTGCCTCATCATAATTCAATGGACTGACACAGTTAGCAATAAAAGTCTGAACATTATACCTGTACGGCTTCTTAAGTGTATTCCTGTCACGTAGAACCATAACATTTCTATCATCGACTATGTTTTCGTCCTTCTCACGCACGTCCGTTGAATTAATTTGAGTGTCTGTAAACTCTAATGTGTCTCCAATTAAATGTTCATAATTATTACATTCGTCTTCGAATATAATGTCTCTGCACACGGATATTTTATTTGTTTTCGAATAACCTTTCGTGCTGTTCGAATATCCAACAAATATTCCTTTTTCACTTTTTGGATCCCATTTCTGACGTTTTTTCTTTGGTATGTGTGTATATACCGCAGTACCAAAAACTCGTAAATGTTTAATATCTGGCACGACTTTATAATATAACTCGTAAGGTGGCTTACCAATCTGTGAACTCGTTCCAGTTAGATTAAGTGTATAAACCGCTGTGTTCACAGCTTCTGCCCATAATGACACGTCAAAATTGTTCACACTAATCATTGTCCTGGCAGCTTCTACGATTGTTCTGTTATCACGCTCGACTTTCCCGTTCTGTTCCGGCGTATATGCTACCGTAGTTTGGTGTCGTTACCATAACAACAGTTTTAAACCAATGGTAACCTATAATTATTTTTATTATAGCTTTGAAACCCACGGCAACCATTTATAAACAAAAATTTCCATCGGAAATCTCAAAACCTTTGTTTGAGCACCTGATCCCGGGGTTGGTCCTCTCCTTTTTTAAATTAGCCTATATTCTGCCCAGTGGTCTAACCTATCTCTGTACCAAATGATCTCATACACTTCGTTGACCAAAAACCAATAATTATTATTATAATAGCTTCAAAACCCATTGCAACCCTTTATAAACAAAAAAGTCCATTGGAAATCTCAAAATCCCTGTTTGAGCACCTCATCCCGGGGTTGGTCCTCTCCCTTTTTAAATTAACATATCTTCTGCATAGATGTCTAATATATCTATATATATATAAATATCTGATCCCGTGCACATCATTTCCCGTTAAAATTGCCAACTCTATATGAATAATATGTTTTACATATCACCATTCACCATGGCAACCATTTATATACAAAACATTCCATCGGAAATTTCAAAATAATATATATATATGGTTGCCATGGTAATATGGACACACACACACACACACACACACACACACATACATTCATTTTTATATATATAGATGTCTGAGAGTCCAATGTGTTGGGCAGTAGTTAAATATAACCCGCAAACTTTACAAACAACAGTCATGAGCGTAACATTAGGGATTGACTCCGCCTTGCGCGGCATACCTAACTTTAGCGGGGGTACCGAGGTAGAACTATCCTCATTTATAACGGAATGTAATTACGTAATGGACAATATCCATGAAAATCTTGTAACAGTAGTATTTCACAATATACTATCCAAACTAAAGGGAGACGCATACCAAGCTACTCGTTACCGAAATTTTACCAACTGGTCTGAGCTTAAAAACCACCTTCGAAACGTTTTTGGGGCACCACATTCAATTAACTATTTGCAATCGCAACTTAGTAACATTAGACAACGATCCGACGAGGACGTTCGTAGTTTTGCCGGGCGAACTGAAAAATGCTATCACGAATTGATAGGAGCGTTAATACTAGGACTAGAGCCAGCATCGGTAGCCTCATCGCATAAAATGGAGGCACTTACTGCATTTGTTAACGGAGCAAAACCTAGTAATTAGGTCATTTTTACGATAACGTGACGAATCTTCGCTCGAAAAAGCCATTACTATCGCGATCGAGGAGGAACAGGACCTTCAACATATTAATCGACGTTTTAATACGGAAAAAAATTACGGGAAAAATAACGCGAATAAAAAGAATATTAAATGTAATAAATGTAACAAAATGGGCCACTATGCAAATGAGTACCGCAGTAACGCCGGTACCTCATACAGAGGTTACTTAAGAATGTTTCAAAATTTTAGAAATCCCATTAGCAGTCGCGACGACAAAACCAGTATAGTAAAGCGCGAATATCAATGTCAAGTTCGATTCTGCGCGTACAGTAAAAAATCAAACAACAATATAAAAGATTGTAGGAAACGTATTTATAACGAAAGTAAAAAAACGAATAATAAGGAAGGTGAAAGTCCTAGCATCAGCCGCACAGTAAATTAAATTAGCCAAAATCATGTAAGAGTTGTAACCAATTTTGAGGAGGAACATATAATATGCGCATCCGATAATTTCAAACCTCTTAAAATTAAATTATTAGTCGACTCCGGCGCGGAAATTAACCTTATTAAAATAACCGCACTAGAAGGACACGTCGTAGTAAACGAATCGGCGAAACGCACGATAAAAGGCATTAATGAAATTCCCATATTTACCATAGGTACAATACTAACCAGTATGAAAATTAACGATGTAGAGGTGCTCATAAAATTCGACGTCGTTTTTGGCGATTTTCCAATAAACGAGTCAGGCATCATCGGTCGTAATTTCTTAAAACAAAACAAGGTCATAATGGACTATAGCTAAAATTTACTAACGATACCCGAAAAAACTGGTTTTAAAGAAATTATACTACCACCGCGTAGCAATTGTGTATTACTTATAAAAAACGAAGAAAATATATGTCACGGGCTCTTTCGGGCTGAGTTCAGCTCCAGCTACTTTTAAGCTCGCAATGAAATCTGTACTCATGGGCCTCGAGGAAATGTGTACTGCGTATCTTGATAACATTGTAGTGCACGGATCCAGTTTGATGGACCACCAGAAAAAACTAGAACAGGTATTCAATAGGCTACACAAACTTAAATTACAACCCAATAAATGTCCTTTCTTACGGAAAGAAGTATTGTACTTGGGACACGTAATAAATTAAACTGGAGTTTCCTCGGACCCAAACAAACTAAAATGTATTCGAGAATATCCTCGACCAAAAAACACAAAAGATATTAAATCATTTTTGGGATTACTAAACTATTACAGACGTTTTGTCGATAATTTTGCGAAAATCGCAAAACCATTAACTTATTTACTTTAAAAAAACGTACCATTCGTATGGACCGATAACTGCGAACATAGTTTCGAGGAACTAAAAAAAGCTTTAATGAACCCGCCATTACTAGTCTATCCAGATTGGAAAAACGGGGAGTTCAACTTAATGACCGACGCAAGCCAATATTCAATAGCCATCTTGTCACAAGGGACCGTTCCTAAAGATCAACCTATCGCATACGCGAGTAGAACATTGAACAAAGCCGAATTTAACTATAGCGTTATCCAAAAAGAATTATTAGCCATCGTCTGGGCCGTAAAATATTTCAGACCATATTTATATGGTCGTCATTTCAACATTATAACTGATCATCGACCATTAACATACCTGTTTGGTATTAAGGACGCGTCGTCGCAACTTATGCGCTGGCGTTTGCAACTAGCCGATTACGATTATACCATTACGTCCAGGGCGGGACCCGAACACGCGAACGCCGACTGTTTATCGCGTATAATAGTACAAACGGAATCGACGAATGTCGATACCGAGTTCAATGAATTCCGTACCGCCGAGAATGAGCCAATATTTAATTCCAAAATTATCGAGATTGAAGGCGACGTTAGCAAGGTCACGGAAAGTGAAAACATTATAGTCACGATTTCGGAAGACAAAATAATTACACACCCGACGATACGCGCAATTACAAAAAATATTGATTTTAACAAAATACAATTTACCGACGAAAACCGGTTCTGTATGTACGTCGATGGTTCAAAATTAATTGTATTTTATAACATTGCCAAAACACACACAGTACCGTTGGAGGCGGAAACTATTTATAAAGCCATATACAATATCCGTGAATATTGTATTACGAATCAAATTAAATCCTTTTCCACTGTCAAGATAGACGGACCTACCTCTTTAACAAACTTCTTGAGAATTCAAACGATGTTTCGGTACGTGTTTCGATCAACCGACATCGTAGTAAAAATATACACGGGTGAACGTTTTACCGAAGAGGAAAAACTACAAATTATTTACGAGCACCACAATTCACCTTTGGGCGGGCACTCCAGTGTATCACGCACACTTAAACGATTAAAACTTAACCATGACTGGCTAATATTAAAAACGACGTTAAACGTTATATTAAACACTGTGAACTATGTCAGAAAAACAAATCCCATATTAAAACAAAACAACCCATGTTAATTACTAGTACAGTAGTTAAACCTTTTGAACGAATCTGTCTCGATATCGTAAGGCCATTACCAAAAACCATAATGGGGAATATGTATATCCTAACTTTGCAGGACGAGTCATCTCGTTACCCACTTGCTATTGCACTACCTTCCACTGACGCTCCAACCGTAGCACAGATATTCGTCGAATGTTACGTATGTACATACGAAATTCCAAAATCAATCTTAACCGATTGTGGAACAAATTTTTTATCCGACGTTTTTAAAGGCATGTACAAACTGTTAGACGTTAACAAGATTCAGACAACGGCATGGCACCCACAGGGAAACGTTTTTTTGGAACGGTCACATAAAACTTTGAAAGCTTACTTACGTACCTTCGTAGACAAAGAGAACAATTGGGATAAGCTTCTATGTTACACAACTTTTTGTTATAACACGACGGTTCATACGTCGACTAACTTAAGCCGTACGAATTCGTATTCGGAACGAAACCCACAATTCCTTCAGCATTTCATAAGAAACCGGAACCACAGTATAATTACGACAATTACGTTTTTGATCTTAAACGAATTACGCAGGAAACGCATAAAATCGCTAGGGTAAATCTTATTAAGAAAAAGGAAACGGCATTTTTGTTTAGGAAAAACATGTTAAACTATATTATTAAACGTAATACAGTATTATATCTTTATTTTTTTCCGATTTACGGCGTTTTTTCTTAGAACGATGTTATGGGTACCTATTGGTTATGAGCATTGAGCTGTTGAGATGTTTGATGTTTGATGAATGAGATGTTTGATTAGCAAACTACATACCTACTTCTAAAATTCATAATTATATTCAAGTAAAATCAAGGGTATCAATATCAGAATTTTTCTTATTATGTCCAGACGAGTTAAGACATCGTAATTTAGACTTTAATATTGTATCCCTGTAGAGGAATGACGTATAATTATGTATTGTTGAGTTAGAACACATAATATGTGCTACCAGCTATCAAGGAAATTTCTTAAATTTTCTAAAATAATAACTAAATTAGAACATTATAATAATTATGTATATTAAATATTTTCATTTTTATTACAATATCATATTTTTCCCTATATAACATAGGTTGACTATACTAATATTTTAATTGACTTTCTGGGTGCCGGGTAGTGATTGTAAATAATAATTTTATAATTCTATTTTTGATAAATTAAAATGGGCCGTAGTAGACATCGGGAGGACTTTTGATTCAGGTGCTAAAAAAGAACAAAACAAAAAAAACAAGAAGTATTTTTAAAGAAACAATGTGGTGCTTTAAATAAATTTCCGGGTTTTAATTTAAAATCAACTACTTCTTCAAAAGATAATAGTAAAGATGATTTTACTTTTCCACATTCTGAAGTTTCTATAAACAATATCAATCCGAGTTTGTCAAATATATCTTCTACTTAAACCTCTTATAGTACGATTGAAAAAGATCAAATTGATAATAGTTTTTTAAATATTAAGAATTTGGATAACATAAAAGCGCCAATCATTTCTACTAGCTCCTGTTCTTCATCTGCTCAATCAACTTCAATAATTAAAATATATAATCAAGAAAAAGACAACAATTGTTTTAATAATATTGCAGTTTCAATAGCCAATGATGATATCAATAATGATGCTATTTTGTTATCTAAAAACGATAGTGTTCAACCACTTCAACCTCTTGTTGATGATTTGAATGATCCTGCATGTTGGCCACAAAGCATGTCGCATACAACTCAAATTCAAATTGTTGAGAGAGGTCCAATAAGAATTTTAGATATTGTGTTTAACCTCCAAAATAAAGTGGGAGAAAATTTTCAATCGCTCATTATTTCAAAACCATGAGTTATGGTGAAATAGTGGACAGAATGTGGTTAGTTTATTCAAAAACTGCAGATCGTGTTTATTGTTTTGTATGCAAACTATTTGAGCCTACTTTAAATTCCTCCCTGGCAAATGTTGGTTGTGATGATTGGAGGACACCTGTCACATTTATTGAAATGTCACGAAAGAAACAAAAATCATTATATAAATATTACAAAATGGATAGAACTAAAAAATAGACTTTCCTCATCTCAAACTATCGATGAAGAGTTTTTAGCTGTTTTCGATAAAGAAAAAAGACATTGGCGTGGGGTTTTGACTAGAATTATTGCAGTTATTAAATATTTAACAAAACATTCTCTAGCGTCTCGTGGAAAATCAGAGGAAACTTTCTTGGACTTAAAGAAATGCTTTATGAATTTGATCCATTAATAGGTGAACATATCAACAGAATCAAAAACAAAGAAACTCATGATCACTACTTATGCCATCAAATTCAAGACGAGTTGATAGAAATTATAGCTGAAAAAATAAAAGAAAACATACTAAGTAAAATTAAACAATTCAAATATTATTCGGTCATAATGGATTCTACGCCCGATATAAATCATCAAGAACAAGTTTCAATAGTTATTAGAATTGTTCTTATGAATTCGGAAAATAGTGAGGACATAATATCGATCAAAGAATATTTTTTAACTTTTATAAATGTACACTCAACAACAGGTCTTAATCTTTCAAATACTTTAAAAAATCAACTAGATGAATATGGTTTAAAATTGTCAAATTGTAGAGGGCAAAGTTATGATAATGGGTCAAACATGATCGGTCTCTATAAAGGTGTTCAGTCCAGAATATTACAAAATAATCCAAGAGCTTTCTTTGTACCATGTTCTGCTCACAGTCTAAACTTAGTTTTAAGAGATTCTGCTAAGAGTTCTACCAAAGCGATTACATTTTTTGGATATCTTGGTAGAATATATAATTTATTTTCAGCGTCTACTCATAGATGGGACATATTTAAATCTCACTGTAATCTATACACTGTAAAACAATGGTCCGAGACCAGATGGGAAAGCCGGATTAATAGTGTTGAAGCCATACGTCTTCAAGTAAAAAATGTGATGCATGCATTAAGTGAAATTTTACAAACGTCCGATGACCCAATTACTAAAAGTGAAGCATTATCATTGTTGAATGAAGTTGGAAGTTTTGAATTTTTATTAAGTCCGATTATTTGGTATGAACTACTTACAGAAGTAAATATTGTAAGTAAGAATTTTCAAAACCCTAATATGCAATTAGATGTTTTAACTAACATGCTTAAAGGTCTTATTGTATTTCTTGAAAAATACCTAGACAACGGATTTGAAAAAGCAATGGAAACTGCCAAACAACTAGCAATTACTATTGAGATTGAACCTACATTTAATGAAATACGTTACAGCAAAAAGAAAATATATTTTAGTGATGAAAGTGTTGATGAAACCCTTCAAGATCCAAAGCAAAATTTTCGAACTCAATATTTTTTAGTTATTTTGGATTCAGCGATTATGTCAATGTCAAAGCGATTTAACCAAATAAATAATTTTAATTCGAATTTTGGATTTTTGTATGATGTAAGCAAGTTAAAAACTATGCCTGACGAAGAAATTCGTAAACATTGCCAAGATCTTCAAATAATTTTAACAGATGGTGAAGATAAAGATATAGATGCTATTGATTTATTTGAAGAACTTCTCATTCTTCGAAGATGGTGATAATAATATGACAGCTTTACAGACATTGACTTTAGTTAAAAATTCATTGGGTTCATTTTCAAACGTTGAAGTTTCTCTACGAATTTGATTAACAATTCCGATAGCTTCAGCAGGAGCAGAAAGAAGCTTTTCAATTTTAAAATTAAGAAATAGTTTGTCACAATTCAAATTAGCTGGTTTAGCATTAATCGCCATAGAAAGTTAAATAGGGGACAGTTTAAGCTTAGAAAATATTCTAGATACTTTTGCAGCACAGAAAGCTAGAAAAAAAATGTTTTAATTTAAACGATTATTATTTGATCACCCTTATTGGCTATTTTAATTTGTATTTTATACTTATTGTTTTATGTTTTTTAATATGCTTAATTATGGTATTTTTTTTATCTTTAATTCAATAACCTATAGCAGTATTAACTCTGACTATGTTATATATTATGTTATAATAACTATTGACAGTGATGAAAATATAAAATATTCAATAAAAATTTAAAAAAAAGCTGTTTTGTTATTAATAACACTATGCTAAAATATTTTAATTATGTATTTACCAATGAAATATAGTAATTTGGATTTAGGTCGGGGCCTCGAGTTTATAATTTTCACAGGGCCTCGCAAATCATACCGCCGGCACTGAGTACAGAATAATATTAAGTGACCCTCCTGGCCCAACAGAATAAAATATAATAATAAACGGCCCTTATGGCCCAACAAAATAAATTATATAGCTACAGATATTCGAGCGGTAAGCTCATATTTAAATAATGACAATAAAATAATAATAATATATGAATAAAAACTTATAGTTTGTCGGTGCTCTGCTGGCCAGCCGCTACCGGGAGCTACGCTATGATAAATGATAAAAATAAATCATAAAAATATGGTGATTCACACACGTAAAAAGGTTACACAACGCTTAGTGCACATTAAAAATAATACAACAAAAATTCATGAATTGGGATTACAAATACAAATAATAACGTTGCGCCCTTGGTACAAAATGACAATATAAAATTGTGGCGATTTGCGCCCATCCAACACAATATAAAATCGAAACGGCGATTTGCGCACGCAGCAATAATAGTGGCTTCGCTGCAGCGAACGAACTGTCGCTAACGGCGGCCGTGCTAAAATCTGCAATGCCGGTGAGTCTGCTGATTACGCAATCATACGTAATAATCTACAATTATAAAATAATACACAACCAACGAAATAATACAAAAAAAAGATATTACAATAAATCAACGAAAAATGTGGTGCGTGTGTGTGTGTGTCTGTGTGTGAGCGTAGGTCAGCGGCGATGTCTACAGCGCTATTGTCGCGGCGGCGACACTGAGTCTGAGGGCCGCTCTGAACAGTCTGAACATACTACGAAATATTTTTGTACTAGGATTAATAACCGCTGTCAAACAATTTACAATTTTATGAATCCAAATAAAATTCTGTTAATTTCCAATAAACATTTTTATCGACAGCATGTATTTTATACACCTAGCTTGCTGACTTATATAAGAAAATTTAAAAAATGCGACATTTGTGGGCGTCGCTGCAGGTATGGGCAAGTATACATGAGTTGAATAAAATGAAAAGTCCTATACCTATAGATATAAGTACAGCAGAAATAGCTCTATTAGCTGTTAGAATATTTAATACGATAAGTAAATTGTAGATAAATTAACAATGTATCTATATTATACAGGTACTAATAAACGCTTCTTTACAACTATTCACCACGGTTTTTTCCCCTCACGTATAACATTCTTCTTCCTACAATATTTGCACCTATTTATAATATATACAGGTATATATATATATATGCATTCCATTTATTTTATACACTACCTTTATGTAGCTAACTATATATCGTTCAACTAGCCGTAATACGAATTTCAACTGGAAGGCGCTTATACGAGTGTTTTATCATTCTTTTTACAAAAATAATGGCGAATAAGCATTGAGTTATTTAAATGTAAATTTAAATTCACGGATATTAGTACAGCCCGTATATAAGACAAACCGACGATCCTGTATTTTGTCACGTGACGTTGATCAGTGGCTGTAGAGGCGGCGGCGGTACCTAAGACAGATAGTGATTATTTGAATGAATGAATAGTGGCTATTCATTACTCACCGTAGTTGGTGTTATATTTTCATACTATATTAACCTACATCTCGTTCGCTCTGTGTCAATACTACTCAGGTAATAATTATTATATGACGTATTAATTTTTTCTTGTCCATTTATTTAAAAATGTTTAATTAAAGCAATGTTCTTTGGGATTAGTAACAAATCAAATCTAATCGCTCACCAAAAAACACATTTAAAATTGTTCAAATGCAACCAATGTACTTTGGAATTCACGGCGAAACGTAATCTGACAAGACATGAAAAAACCAACGAGGGTATTCGTTTACTGTCGCACAAAGTCCTTATTGCCGACCCAGAGGAGATCGACCGACTCGGCTACACTTAATAATAATATATTCTAGCAAGGTTTTATTGCCCCACGCTCTGACCGAACAAATATTACTGCGATAAGCACCGCAACGCAAGACACAGAGAAAGGTGGACACCTTATAATTAACTTAAATATAAATAGGAATGAAAACTACAAGAATTCTAGGTTTTAATGACGAGCCAAAAGGCACCGCCTTACTATTTTACATATAATATTACAATTTTATATCTTTATAATGGATGGGCGCCCACTAATTGACACACATAAATATAAATACAATTAATAATATAATTACAAAATATATGAAATTACAATATCATCCTGTAGAGAGATAGTACTAGTTACAATAATAAATAATATGATGGTATAATCACCGGTCTCCTCGATATTTGTCTTCCCGAGACGAAAAATGCAGGTGACAAAATGGGCAGCGCAACAACTTGTAGTTACGTTAAACCGTAAGTATTATTATCCGCGGCGACGACTGGGTACACGATTGGCACCCATGCGGCGTGGTAGGTATTCAATGTCGTCAACGGAAGACACCAGGAAAGGTCACGTCGAATTCGAGAACGGGCACCACAATTTTCACGTCGCCGATACTCCGCGCGATGTTTAATGGCGACGGCCACCGAACAAAACACGTGCACACAAAACACAAGACCAACGGTGCCGTTGCAAAGGTTGCGGCCGACAAGTACACCTGGTACAACGTGCCGCGGGTGATCGACGGAGGGTCACTGACTTGACGTTGACGGTTTCGCGATGAGACGGCAGGCAGTGACAGAGATGGCACAGGCGGGGCGGGGGTATCGAATATTCTAGAAACGACCGTAATGACCGGCGACAATTATTGGCGATAACGTTCCGGCGGCCAAATAACGTTATCGAGTATTTTTACAGATATCCGACATCCTCCCCCTAGTAAGGCGAGCACGTCTTACTACCGAACACTGCCGGATCTAAAGCTGCAAACTGTTGAAACCTGGAGATTGAACTGACGAGGGTTGGATTTGTGCTGACCGATTAACCTAAAAATACATTCTTTTTTTTTTTTTTTAAAGACACATTATAATAGTAACAAATTTTAAATACAGATTAGGATATAATTCAAATGCCAGGGCGTATAAGTACATAAATAACAAGGTGCCCCTAATTTTTCTGGCAGCTAACCAAAGTGCTCCCTCCCCCGTGACTCACGACCGCGGTGCCTAGGCGTAGGTGCAAACAATGGGTGTATGAGTCAGAGAAAGGAAAAGGAAAAAAAATAATGAAATATAAAAATATATATAAAAAAAAAAAAAAAAAAAAGGTACAGACATAAAAATCAAAGAGAGCTGGTAGGTCTCTAGGGCTGGTTAATGAGCTTTACCACCTTTACTACCGGACGTGTTAGGATACCAGTAGCAGTACGGAGCCGCACGACTCGGACGACGTTGTCGGAGCCAGGTAACACCTCGATTACGCGCCCCATACGCCATTTCAGCGGCGGAGTATGGGGGTCCTTTATTACGACCATATCATCGACAGATATATTTGGAGAATCATTGGTCCACCGACTACGGATTTGGAGAGTCTGGAGATATTCATTGCGCCATCGGCGCCAGAATGTTTGGACGCATTGACTAACCAGCTTCCACCGTTGCTCTAGTGACCGGGTTGTGCTTGGAATGGTCGCTTCAGGGACAGCAAGTAACGGTCTGCCGATTAAGAAGTGCCCCGGAGTTAGGCACTCGAGCTCAGCGGGATCGGACGAGGCGGGAGTGATTGGCCGAGAATTCAAAATGGCTTCACACCTGCACAGTACTGTGCCAAACTCTTCAATAGTGAAAGTGTGCTCCCCCATAATGCGCATCAACAATGACTTGGATGAGCGAACTGCTGCCTCCCATAGCCCGCCAAAATGAGGCGCACCGGGAGGGTTAAAATGCCACGTACAATGGACACTGGCCGTTAATTGGTCATGACACGCTGGATCGTTGACCAGCTCACGAAGTGAATTGTTTGCCCCAACGAAATTTGTGCCACAATCACTGTAAATATCGGTAGGCAGACCTCGGCGCGCCACAAACCTATGTAATGCAGCTATGAAGGCCCCGGTGCTCAAGTCAGATACATATTCTAAATGGACCGCACGTACTGTGAAGCACACGAAGACGGCAAGATACATTTTATACATGCGCGGCTTTCGAAGTCGGTTCTCTTTTACTGAGAAGGGGCCTGCATAATCCACTCCAACCCTCGCGAACGGGTGGCATTCCGTCACACGTGATGATGGTAGATCCGCCATTACTGGCTGAGGGTTTTTTGCCGTAATGCGTACGCAAGTGGTGCAACTGCTTATGATAGTACGGATTAATGTGCGGACTGATAATATCCAATATTGACGACACACCAAAGAAGAAACGATCTGCGGACCACTGTGACCTGTGATGTCGTGCCAATGACGAATCAATAGGACCGAGAAATGTGAAGTCTTTGATAACAACACAGGGTGTTTCTGGTCATCAGACAAATCTGACCTTGATAACCGACCGCCAACGC